AATTCGGCCGTTTCGGCCTTATCGCCGTCCTTCCTGAACAGCGAGAACTCAGGGCCGTACCACTCGCGCAGAATAGTCGCTTTTTGCTCCTTGGTCGCAACACCACGGTAGATGTCGTCGAGAATCCAGCCAGCCTCGGGGTGGTTGATGAGCTTCCTGACCTTGCCGTAGAACTCGGGAATGATCATGTCCCGGATTTCTGGGTCATTCTGGACCAACATCTTGCCAATCAGGAATTTGGCATATCTGCTTTCCGCCAGCTGAGCGTAAGTCCCCTGGAGCTCTTGCGTAATCACTTTGCGCTGTTCCGTCTTTGCGTATTTGAGGGCAGTCTGGACAGCACGCACGGCATCATGCTTGAGAACGAAGTCCTTGACGCGGCCAGTGATGATTTCGAACAATTCGTCAACCAGTTGCTGCCTCTCTTCCTTTGGCACGTGGGACTTTCGTCGTAGTCGCTCCCAGATCTTCTTGGCTCTCTGCAGCTCATCTGCGAGAGGGCGGGCAGCCTTTCGCTCCTTGGCCAGCTGCTTCTGCTTGATGTGCGATTCTCTCGATGTTTCGCCACCTGTCATGAATTCGTTAGTGCTGAAAGATGCGCACCAGAGTGTCAAGACAGGGCCTACTTCGCTCGTGCTTCTTTTCCGTCACGTCGTTGTCTCCGGTTTTCTCTGACCCCTTGGCTTGCTTCGCCTTCTTCTTCGCAGGAAGCCCGACACCACCGTCCTCTCCATCAGACGAGTCGTCATCGCTGCCGTCGTCGGAAGCATCCTCGTTCCTAAAGAGCTTCCTTGTCGAGTCGGGGCGTTCTTTCTTCCCCTCGAATTTCTTCACCTTCCTCTCGGGGGCCTCGGCCGCCTTGCGTTTGTCGCCAGCTTTTGCGCTCTTGGTGGCCATTGTTGGGTGCCGGTGTGAGCAATGCAGGCAGGTAATCGGGATGGTAATTGGGGCCGGGTTGAATTTTCTAGACAGATTGGATTCTGCCGTCGAGACCCCTGTTCGATAAATTTGGGCGGTGTGGTCTTATCGTACTCAGTGCCCGTCGATAACGGTCGCTCAGAACCCCACTACGGGCCGTACGTCAAGTCAACTTGGGCTCCTCATACTTGATCGTCGCGAGGCCTGAGTGGGAACAATTCGCTGTGCCACGGTCTGACTACCCCCGTTCCTCAGTCAAAAACCACAATATGGGTCGCGAAGAGCAAATAGAGGAGCGCGAGGTGCTTGACTCAATTTTCCCGGATGAGATCACAGGTAATAACCCCACTTACATACATGCCTGTGCCGTCGGTCGAAAGACACATGCCCTGACAATTATCTCCTAGACATTTCCGACTTAGAATACCGTATCAAAATAACGCTCGACATACCCGATGACGAAGAAAACGAGCAACCTGTGATAGTACTCACGGTGCGTTATCCAGAGGACTACCCAGACAAAGCCCCGTACCTCGACCTCTCCGCCGACGATGGCGAGAACAAGCACCCTCTGTTCAACATCGCAGACTCCAAGGATGAGCTCCTCAAGAGCCTGGAGCCAGTGATAGAGGAGAATCTGGGAATGGCGATGGTGTTCACACTTGTCACATCAGTCAAGGAAGAGGCGGAGCAGATGGCCATCAGGGCAAGAGAAGTTGAAATCAAGGCCCATGAGGAGGCGGCCCTGGAGGCGGAGAGAAAGGAAAACGAGAAGTTCCAGGGGACCGCAGTGACGAGGGAGTCATTCCTTAGCTGGAGGGAGGGCTTCTTGAAGGAGATGGAGGAGAAGAGGCAGAAGGAGGAGGAGGAAAGATTGGCTGAGATGAAGAAGGCCAAGATAAAAGAACCCACCAAGATGACGGGGAGGCAGCTCTGGGAGAGTGGTCTTGCCAAGGGTGAGGAGATAGAAGACGGAGATGACGATGCGCCAGTAGAGGATCTTGCGAAGCTCAAAGTATCAGCTTCATGAGATGGAAATGACACGATCAGTGAGTACTACAACTTTCACCGTCACATTCCTACAGGTGCTTTTGACAGGGGAGATGCGTCATCCTGCTACCTCCCTTGCATGTGCATGTGTTTCTTACTTGATTGATGGATGAGGATTTGGCTTGTCTGCGTACTCGTTACACTTACGAGCAAGTCAACCAGGGCTTACACAAATGTAGGAAAGGTGGCTAAAGATGGTCCTCCACGGTATTCCACATATCACGTAGTCCTGAGGTTGGTGTCGCTTTATAACTCTTCAGCAAGGAGTCAAGAGCAAGGGGAAATTCTGGAAGGCGGACCGGGAGGAGGGGAGGAAGGGGCAGGGGGTGCTGTGTGCTGCGGCCTTTGGTGTACCCATGCCCCTTGATGTCCCTTGGTGCCCTCGAGTTCAGCAGCAGGGCACCGGCATTCACTGGGGCCCAAGTCGAACTTCATCCAAGCTTATAGTCTAGCCGATCCCCCCATTCCCAACCGAGTGAGGTAGCACTAGTAGGGGCAGTTGGCTGAGTGGTAACACCGCTGACAACATATTAAAGAAAAGGTGCTTAGATCCAGTGATCTCCATACACAGTGCCAACCGCACCCGGCCCTAGGTTGGATCACACTGAAAACAAATAGTCAACTCGAAAGAGGGCCGCGCTGTAGGAGGCAGGGCGTATCATTTTTTGTGTTTTCGCACTGTGAGCGATGATGTTGATGATGCCTTCCCTTTCGCTCAGGGGGTCGACGTTCAATTCTTGCCTGGGCCCTGAACCTTTTTTAAAAATTTTTGACCGCCCCATGGCTCTCACACGCTCTGCGAACCATTCCATCTGTCACTCTCCGCTGGCCCAATCACTACTGAGCCAGCAAAGGACCTAACTATCACTCCACCCAAGACGATGGCAGCAGAAGCTTACACAGGAGCCCTGGTTTGTCGATCCACATACGTCTATGATACTGCTGTTACCCTACAAACAAGCTGGGATGAGAGAGACCAAGGAGGCGTCTCTCTCCCAACGATGATAGTCTGGGTTGCTTGCGACAAACCCTCTTCATTGAGCTATTCTTGTCTTTCAAAACACCACAAGGGGGTCTACACTCATTTCACCAGGTTATCACGACGTTCTCGACTGGGGACAGCTCTCAGGTCCTGACAAGATGGAACTTCATGCGAGAATGGTTCATTTCTATCATGCACTGACACCCACCGCGAGCATTTTGAATATCACACGGGAAATCGTTACTGGGGCAGGGACAACAGTGTGTCGAGCAAGGCGTACTTGCAATAATCGGCTGCTCAACATTAAGTGGGCTCCCAGTATCTGACAAACCAGTCAGAGCATCTATGAGGCGGTGCCCTCCAGTTCGACTGGTCTTCAAAGGGTTCGCCGAAGCCAGTCTGCCCCGAATATCCATGTGTGATATTGTCGATCAAGACTGGTCCATGTCCTCGTCGCCATCTTCATCAACATCCTCCCAGCCAGCTCCATCTTCGTCCTCGTCGTCCTCGTCTGGTAGGTCGCCCACTTCTGCATTTACCGTAGCGAGCAACTCCTTGGCGTGCTCTCCCAGCCTCTCATCCTCGTATTCCTGTGCCTCGAAAAGTAGCAGACACTGCGACAGCCACTGCCGTGCTCTGACCCACTCCTTCTTCCATGTGTCCTTAGGTTCTGCGCTCTTGTCGCCGTTCTCTGTACTGCTCGCTTCCAATTTGCCCTTCTCGCCCAGTGTGTAATGTGCCATTCCACCGAGATACCAAGCCTCCACACTCCCGTCGTCATCCAGCACCAGCCTGTCGCAGACCTCCACCGCTTGTTGTTGCAGGTCGCACTCGATCAACAGTCTCGCCAGGCTCACCCTGGACGGGAACGGAGGCACCCCAGGGTCCTCGGGCTCCAGATCCGTCCACAGCGCCATGCTCCTCTCCAGCGCCGCCACCGCGTCGTCCCTCCTGCTCTGGCTGACCCTCACGTTCGCGACCGTCTGCCACGCGTCGGGAAGCTCGGGCGCCAGCATGGTGGCCTCGGTGATGAGCGCCTCGCACCGCGCCTCGGCGTCCTCCTCCCACGACAGGTCCGTCATGTACACCTCGGCGACGGCACACAGCGTCTCGGAAAGCTTCTTCTTCTTCTCCGAAGCGGCGGCATCGATCTCCTTCTCCGCCGTGCCCCGCGCGCTTCCCTTCCTTCGCGCCTCGTCCGCCGCCACCCCGAGGGTCTGTACCTGCGCCCGCAGGCACGCCGCCGCCCGCTCGAACCACACCACCGAGTCCGCCCCGCCCTCCTCCGACAGCTGCGCCAGCCAGTTGAACTTCTCCGGCCCGCCGCCCAGCTCCTCCGCCAGCGACCCGTCCTCGTCCAGCCGGGAGGCCTCGAGGAAGTGCGTCCGCGCCGTGTCGATCTCGCCCAGCTCCACGTTTATCTCGCCCAGCAGCATGTGCGCCGCGCACGCGCGCGTGTCGTCGTTCTCGAGGGCAGCGTCGAGGGCCGCGCGCGCGGTTGTTACTGCGCCCGTCGCATCGCCCTGCTCGAGGAGCGCGGTCGCTTCGGCAAGCAGTTGTTTTGCTGGTTTTGTGGACGCTGCTGTCGACTTTTTGTGTTGACTTCGGCTCTTGGCTTTTGCCTTCTTGGATGGTCTCGTAGGTGCCATTTTGGGCTGTGATTTGGTCAAATTGTTCCAAATTGTCGAGTGCGAACGCAGTCGCTCTACCAATAGTTTGGGAAACTTTTTTGGCTTCCAAGATCAGATCGGTGATAAGATAAGAGTTAAACGGCCAGGGACCCCTTGTTCAGTGACTTACAGGGGACATGGATTCTTCACTTCAACTCTCATCCGTGCTACACCACTCTCATATGCCTCTTACTATTAGACGACTCGAGCCCACTGGACAGGTGGAGCGAGCACTCACTTTTCTTCATGCCGCTTATCCTGGGTCCCTCTTGCATTCTCCCACTCCCCAATTAGTCCCGAATGTCCACGTGCATTGTGTTGTTATGCGTCTGCTCGTCCCCGGCAAAAAGGAGCGGCGCGCAACCGCCAAAACAAGCATCCTCGGATACGGGGAATCGAACCCCGAGCTGGTGAGTGAGAGTCACCGATGTTAACCATTACACCATATCCGACTACGGTGTGAGGACCTGTTGATGTCCTCGGCCCTGCCGCAGGACTTATGACCCAGATCACAATGGCTAGATGCTCGAGCTACAAGTCCTGTCTCTGACCTTGTCTAGTACCCTTGACAAGGGACGTCTTATTGTATTATCTAAATCTAGTGATGCCAAAGCGTTACGCTCAATATCAATACCCAAGTCAAGGCTCTTTTTGCTTTTCAAGTCAAGAGGGAAAGCTCTGGACCTTCAATCCCTATAAGGGTCTCCCAGGCTCAAAATGACCATGAACCCATGTACTGTTATCCTGCCCATGCGACTTCGTTGCTGTGTGCCTCGTCAACCCTTCCACCCCCACTAAGATGGCTTCAGGGCTTCCCAGCCTCCAGCAGCGGCGCCGTCGTCGCCTAGCAGATCCACTACAGGACTCCTGGCGGCATTCAAAGCAGGCTTCTTTGAAGCAGCTATAGGTGGCGATCGACCTGACGAGCTGGTCGGGGACGGTGTGCCCGATCCTACCGGCTTCCTAGGCGGCACTGTCGGGCGGCCCTCCTTTGACAGTCCAACCAGGCCTACTGCGCCAGGCGGAGCCCAACCGGGAGCTCCCGACGCTACAGAGGCAGTGCCCGCCCGACGTGGCGGAGGCATCGGCGGTTGCTCCTGATTGCGATTGTAGGTCTCTCTTGCCGACGCAGTGCGGTGCAGGCTATCGCGTATGGCTGCGCGAGACACATTTTGCACGCTGCTTGAGGGCCGTCGAGGCGGTATGGGTTTGGCTTTGGTTTCAGTAGACGGTGAGGTCTCTGGGTCTAGCCCAGTTGGCGAGGTAGAGAGCAGGTGTGCTGGTTTCCTGGCGACCGGCGGCGGGCCTTTAGCTGTCTTCTGCGAGGGCGCAGGGACCGTGTTCTGTGACGACGCAGAGATCGTCGAAGCTGATCGGGGTGGTGGTGGCACCGGTGCCTGTTTTCTCACTTGATTGGCGATACCAGGGACAGGGGTTTGATTGGGCGGCGGGGGGAAATATGGTGTCTGCGTCAATGGTTTTCTAGCCGGTGGCGGTAGTGGCGGTGTGGCTAGCTTCTTGAATTGCAGTTGGTTCTGTTCTTCGTTCAGGGCAAGTCTTCCTACTTTGGCAGGCAGAGCTGATGGGTCGTAGGGAGGGGGCAGTTTTCTTTGTGGAGGGGTGCTTGAAACAGAAGATGCCAGCAAGGTTGAGTGATTGATGTGCTCGTAGGGCGACGTGGATATGCTTGAAAAGGATGATAGTCTGGAGTCTGCGCGCGGAACTGTGACCCAGTCGGGCTCATCCGACGGCACAAACGGATTCGGTTGTCGGTTGGGATTTAAAATCGTCGACGTCGAGCCGTCCATGGCCCTTGGGGGCGTGATTGAGGACTGTGCAGGTTTGCCGTTGTCCAGCCACCACTTCTGGCGATCAGAACTGGCTGGAGGCAGTCCAGGTTCTATAGCGTCGTAGCCAATGAGGTCCTCATCTTCTGTGTCCTCAGTATTGACATTTGCCGTGGCATCCCCCACCTCTGCCTTCCGTCGTAGGTAGATATCACGGCTGATTTTGTCTCGATGCGGCTCGTCGATGATACTCACGTTGCAGTCGAAGAGGGCATAGACCGGCCGGTGATCCGAGAACCTGAGTGGTGCACAATTGTATGCCAGCTGCCGGAGGTTGGGGCCTTTGCGCAGGATGCGATCTGTCCAGGCTGGGATGCGAGCTTTCTCAGAGGAGTCGTATTTATCCGTCCCAATGTCGAATTTGTATGTAGGCATGAATGTGATCCTCGCTTCTGAGTAGAAGGGGAATGACAGGCCAGCCACCATTTGTAGGTTCAGCTGATCATTTTCATATAGCCGCTCCAAGTCTCGCTTTTGAACCAGTTCCATGGCTCTCTCCCAGCCTAGTCCAACTCGATAATTGAAATCACCAAGCCAGATGACAGTATCTATCCACCGTTGTTAGCCATATGATGTTCGTCCTGACCGGACTGTCCATCTTACCGTGGTCGTCAATGCTCCTATTTCGTTGGAAGCGTAATCCGTTGCTTATCGTGGCATAGTCCTTGTTCCTCTCATCGTAGTTGGCGAAACCGGCCGCCAAGTGTGCAGTGACGAAGCATATTTGAGTGTTGGCATAGTCCAGCCTGATTGCTACTGCACCTTTGTTGCCAGCCATGCCGGACATTCCTGTCTTCTTCACAGAGCCCTCGACGTTTTTGATATTGGACAGGACGGATTGTCTCACGAAAATGCACAATGCCGCACCGACAAGCTGTCCACTCCGCAACACGACGTACTTCTCGCCGCCGATTTCTTGGGCTCGGGTGTTCAGACACGCCCGCACAGCTTGCTCCCAGAGTTGTTTCCTAGTAGGGTCGCTGTTCATGATTTGCTGCGGGCTCAGCTCAACAATCTCTTGGAACCCAACCACAACGATCTCGGGTTGTGTATCTCCGATCTCTTCGGGGCAGAGCCACGCAGACAGGTCCTCATCAATGCCGTTGGTACGCCCATTGAGGTTGAATGTGCCAACCAAGCTGTGGCCGGTTAGTATATCGCCATAAGCATGAGGACAGCCACGACTAACATTCTGATGTTCTCCGTGGACGAGAACTGTGCACTGCGCTTGTTGAGCTCGGCGTTGACGTAGTCATTGATGGGGTCGTAAAGTGAGACTGGTGACTGGCCCACGAGCCTGCCCAGTAGCGTGTCAATGGTGTTTTGCCTTTGCTTGTCAGTGAAATTATTGATGTATAGCCTGGTTGCTGACTTTCGTGCATCAGCTATGGCACCGGCCAAAGACATCTTTCCATGACGGGTAAAGGAGGATTTCAGAGCTCCGGTGCCAGCGTAAATCCGTGACAGAGCATCTCCATTGTCCGCCCATAGGCTCGAATGCCTCATCCAAAAGTCTGAGGAAGCATATTCTTCACGATGCCCAAGGAATGACTCGACAGCCATTTGCGACACGAGGGTCTGAATCAAATTCGTGCGGTCCAGGCAGTCGAGACAGTTTGTCCTGAAGACGCCTTCCTGTTGGAGAACAACCACATAACGCCGATTAGTGTGAGCCGTGCCATTCACAGTCTCACCGGGGCTGTCTGTCTCCTCTGCAAGGTAGTAAGCAAAGCCTTCTGCTGAACCCTCAATGTACCGGCGTATTCCCCTAGCGGCCTCATAGCCCGTCGGCCCTTTGGTTTCAGCATGAAAGTCGTATTCCGTTCCCCTTAGGAGCGCGTGCTCATTGGAACGCTTTTCCCCCGCACGACTCAGAGGGCAGTGTAGTATGCCATTACGGTAGAGCTGGCTGAGTTCGACCTCGCCGGGCTTCGACTCGCTGAGCAAGTTGACGACATGGACAGCGCCGTAATTGTGCTCGAGATCCTGGAAATGCTTATTGAAAGCCGGCTGCGTGCCATCAGGTGATCTCGTTATGCTGATCTTCTGCTGGCCGGGCAGCAGCCCAGCAGCCTGCTCCCAGAACACAGGCACGGAGCCGCGAACCTGCGCGTATGAGAATAAGACACCAGATGGGCTCCAGTAGATGGTCTCTGTCTCTACAAAGTTGGCCACATTTCCATCGTCGTCTATGCCTCTCGAATTGAAGCGGGTTCCAGCTCGTCGACATGAAAGGCGTGATATTATAGTTAAATAGGACGGCATGCCCGACCTTGCGGGCTTCAAAGGCGCCACTAATTGAGGGATGTTCATCGTCAAGCAAAATCCCCGTATGGCCGAAGTCAATATTCGTGATGCGTCCAGAGTCTCCCTTTCGTGAGGCATCAGCCGCGACCGGAACCGTACCAGAGGACTGATCATGTACGAGTTCCAGAGGAACCCCTCATCAAAGTTGTCAATGTCGAAGGTATTCGCGTCGGCAGGTCTATCCTGCAGCCGGTTCGTCAGGTCGAAGTCGGTGCTGTAGTAGAAGCTTCCATTGCTCAGAAGCTTTTGTACGTCCACGCAAGGGTGTTCGACACCTTCCCTCCTGTTCAGCGGCTGGCCGTACGTGGCTGCGGCATCCGACATTTCAAGCTCGTAGGGATCGATGGCGGAAAACACATCGTCGTACTCGGAGGTGTTGAGGCCGTAGAACTCGACGGCCAGGATCCGTTCGATGGTCTCTCCGGGGCGCAATGTCGACACGCGCGATGCGTGAGTGATGACGCAGAGGAAGACATCGCGGCCAACCGATATCAGCCCAAGTGTACCGTATATCGGCCGTGGTGTCAGGGGTCGGTAGTCGCTCAGGGTGTTCTTGGTGATCTGGGTGAACTCGACCATGCACTTGGAGGCAACGCTGTCGGTTCCGCTCATGCCCGTGCCGGTGCGGGGCCGAGCAGAAGGGATGGAGGAGAGGGAGCCATTGGCGATGGACTCGCTGGTGGAGGGGCTGTGACGGAAGATGAGGGCGTGGTCGTTTGAGACAATGGCAATGGCGCGGTGAGGGTATTCGCGGATCAGGAGCTCGCTCGACTTCTCAGGGGAGGGCGCCTGGCCGCTCCAGAGGGCCGAGTTGGGATAATTGGGATCCATGCCCGTTCGGCGGTCGGGAGCGCTTCAGCTGGATGCCGCCGCCCAGTCTTGTAGACGGTCAGGTTACGTTACGCCAGGGGGATGCCACATGTCCTGCCAGACTGAGCGCCGTGGTCAGAGGAAGGCACGGCGGGAGGGGGAGGGGGAGGGGGGCAGAGGTTGAATTGGGTTTGGCAGGTAGAGGTACGAGGGACGGGCGGGCATTGCACGCTGGTTTGGTAGGCCAGACATGAAAATCTCAAAGCGACGACGGTGTCAGCTACCAGCAGCACTAACGAAGTTGCAGATGCAGATTTCAGATGCACGTCCTGAGCCGAGCTTCTGACAGGCAGTCAGTCACTGATGGCCAGTCGATGGCACTCATTGGCAGGACTGCCCAAACTGCCCGACGCCTGCTTGGGCTAGCGATGACGCCAGGACCAAGCGCTGTTCAGCCCTGTGGAGCCTGTTCCGACTCTTGGAAGGGA